CCAAAGTGTATCGTAGCAATCATAGATTGAACGAATAATCATCATTCCTCGTCGGAGACCAACCAATACATCTTGGCAGGAATTTCCCGGCACTCGCGTGATCACACGCCTACCGTCAACACTGGTTTACTGATAGTCCATTGCGACCAACTTGAGAACGACAAATCTCAGAGGCAATTTCAAAATTTGGTCACGTGTGGTACAGTCATTTATGAAGACCCAGTATTTAGTGGAGTTCATCGACCACAAGACGTAAATATTCAATATTCTCTCGAATTTATGGATAGGACACTCGATAGTTTCAAATGTGAATGGTTATATGAATATGAATTTTTTTGAGTTTGTAGACATTTACAAATCTAGTAATTTCAGGAACAAACTGTTATGAAACTATCCCAACTAGGAGTTCTTCACTGCTAGATTATTGTATCACCAATTCAGAAAAGAATCTAGAGTTATTTGTCATCAATAATTCTTTGAGTGACCATAAATTTCATTTGACTCACATAGCACTACTGGAATTGAATAATAAAAAATATGTGAACAAATTGATAAAAACATATGATATCGAAAAATCAAAATCTGAATTGGAAATATCAATAGTTATAATAATCTTGATGAGGCATATGGAAAACTACTGGATACTTTTCATGATTGTACTGTTCCGAAAATGGTTGAATTAAAATGTGATTCAAAGCCATGGTTCAATAGTATTTTGATGAGGCATATGGAAAACTACTGGATACTTTTCATGATTGTACTGTTTCGAAAATGGTTGAATTAAAATGGGATTCAAAGCCATGGTTCAATAGTATTATGAGTAAATTGATCAAATTGCAGGACAAATTCCATTATAAAAAAAATATCTATTCTAATATAAAATATTTTGGAAAGCAATATAATTTCTATAACGATTAAGTAGAAAAAAGAATACGTGAAACAAAAAAAGTATTTAATGATGATAATTTTTTTAATAGAACTCCAAAATCAGTATGGAATGGTATGAACTCAATCTTATAGAAGAAGAAGAAGAAGAAGAAGAAGAAAGTCTTTATTGTACTAAAAACCTAAAGTTTTTGTTGACAAAGCATGTGTATCATAAGCTATAACTAATATTAAAACTACATAAAATCATGTAAAATATGCACATATATAAGGAACAAAACATTTAAGTCGAACATATACTAGTAAAAGTCACACTATAAAAAAAGGTATTGAACAATTAAAAACGAATTATACAAACTGACAAACTTAATTAAATGCGTCTTCATAAAATTCTTGCAAGGTATAATAGGCTTTATTCAGTAGTAGCTCTTTTACTGCCTTTCTGAACTTAATATGTGTTAGCAATGAACGAATATGTGAAGGCAGGTGATTAAACATTTTTTTGGCATTATAAATAAAAGACTTTTTTATTAATGTACTTCTAGGAATTAGTAGGGAAACCGTACAGTCAACATTTCTTGTGTTGTATACCGACATCGAATGAATGTTCGTGGTATATTTTTTGTGGATCATACATACACTCTCTAGAATGAAGATGCAAGTCAATGTCAGTATTTTCTGAGCCACAAATAAGGGTTTACATGGTTCTCTGAATTTAGCTTTACTAAGGTATCTCGCCCTCTTTTGTAAAATGAACACAGAGTTCAAAAGAAATTGAGAACTATTCCCCCAAAAACAAACTCCATATCTCAAAATTGAGTCAATCAGGGCAAAATAAACTGATCTTGCTGCAGATATATTCAATTCAGATGAGATGACTCTTACTGCAAAACAACCAGAAGATAATTTTCTGCATAAATTTGAAATGTGGGTGTTGAATGAGAGACTGTCATCCACATAGAGCCATAAAAACTTAGCCGAGGATTGAGTACAAATTCTTGAGTTTTCCAGAAGTATATCATTAAGAGTGCACTTGAACGTCAAAATACATGTTTTAGAAATATTGAATGATAACTTATTCGCATCACACCAATTTTTTACTTCCAATATATCTTCAGCGACATAGTTACTCAGTTCGTCATTATTGTTGCTATGCCACAGTATTGTGGTGTCATCTGCGAACATAGTGAACTTTCCTCTAATAGTGATATTTGCTAGGTCATTTATATATATTAAAAATAAGATTGGTCCAAGCACAGATCCTTGAGGGACCCCACACTTCACTAACTGAGACCTGGACTTTATTTTGTTAAGCGAGACTATTTGAGTACGCTCTGATAGGTATGATTGGAACCATCTTAGTGTAATATCTCTAAAGCCATAAATTTCTAATTTTTGAAGCAAAATTTCATGATCAACACAGTCGAATGCTTACAACAAAACGAAGAACAAAACAGAAAATATCAGATGTATTACTGTGAATTATGTGAAAATTAACGACTTCCAGGAAATGAGTAATGAAATCAATGATCATTTCATCAATGTAGGTCAAAATTGATGGTCAAAAATCACTAAAATTTCTTTGTTCCTTGTTTCAACAAATATTTCAGAAATTGAGAATATCATTGATAATCTGGATGTTCGGAAATGCTGTGGATTTGATTATATTACTGTTAATATAATCAAATTTGATTCAGCTCCTATTTTGTTGAACATAATTCCCAAATCTCTCAAAACTCTATTAATTCCCGACAAAATCAAAAAAAGTATCACCAATTCTGACAAAAATGGGAAAAAAGATGATTTAAAGAATTAGAAGACCAGTTTCTGTTCTCCCGATCTTTTCCAAAATTTTTAAAAAAATTATGAATAACCGTCTAATGAATCATTTTGAAAATAATGGCCTATTGTTGAACAATATGAATTGCGATGTCATTTCAGATATTCAGTTACGAATAGATGACAATCACAAATGCGGCATCTTGTCTCTGGATCTTTGTAAGGCCTTTGACACTATAAATCATAATATTTCATTGACTAAATCATCATCAATAGCTGGTGTCAGAGGGACAATTGATGATTAGTTTCAAAATCATATTTTGAAGAATAGGACACAGTATGTTGTTGTGAATAATACATGTGGTATACCGCATGGCCAGTTTTGGGCCAATTTTATTTCATTTACATTAATTCAATATCTATTTTGAAATTGAAAGGAGAACTGAAATTCTTTGCAGATGATACAACAATAATCTATACTTCAAAAAATTTTAACGATATTAAAACTGATTGGAAACAAATATCATCTTGGCTAACGACCAATAAGTGAACTCTTAATTATAGTGAATCTACGTATATGTACATCCCAAGAAGAACAACGGATATATGGAATAATACCACAATATGTTTCAATAACAAATCCATTGAATATACAAATGTAACAACATTATTAGGTTTTTATATTGATGAACAATTATCATGGACTCTACATATAGATCATTTGTGGCAAAAATCGAATCCTATTGCTAGTATTTTTCATGGAATTTGAAATATTTCCTGTTAGATACCTAGAGAGTATTCATTTCTGTCTTTTCTATTCCAATTTACAATATCTAATATATATTTTGGAAAGTGCAAATATTTCACGTTTGAAGCCACTCATGAAATCACAAAATCAAACAATAAAGTGCATTTTCAATTTACCTTTTTGAGAATCAACTGTGAATATATACAAACCTAAAGACTTGCTGAAAGAGTTTCATTATATAAACTGAAAATTTGTGGTTTTATTCATTTTGTCAGGAAGGAATTGAAAATATCAAATTTGAATTTTAATGAAGTTAATACGATTCACGCCCATGAAACAAGGGAATTGAATTTATCAAAAGCAAATAATTATAAGTCAAATATTAATGGACAATCAATATTCCATTATGGAAGAATTCTGTATAACTCCTCACCTAATGAGTTGAAAATTAAAGAAGAAGCAGAAAAATGTTAAATCAAATTGAAGAAGTATCTGCTCAGTAAACTCCAATTCCATATCTACTAATCATTCACAATTTGATTACTTGTAATGGATAATAATATTTTCATTTTATATTTCATTATAATTTTTTTCATGGAGAACAATAATTGTGCAATTATTATTGTTCTCATTCATTATGTTATATGTATGTTTTGTTGTAAATATCCCTATTATAAACAATAATGTTTCTTGGGGTAATAAAGACAATCAATCAATTAAATTGCTTCGTTTATGAAACTGAAGAACCCTGAACGCTGGTCATTGCCTCCGAAGGTCCTCTGCCACCATTTGTGTGAGCGGAGGTGGTGGCATGACAGCTGTCAAAGAAATTTACCTCAGTCGCTGATGACTATATTGATGATGATATGAACACTTAGTTGAACAGAAGTAATAATATTATGAGAGAAATAAAAAGGAATGATGAGTCATCCACTATTACAACCTCCAACAATGATATGAATAAAGTTATGGAACGCCGAACGCCACCGGACAAGGCAAGAGACACTCCAAAACAAGATCCCATTTCAGGCGAATTCGCCCAATGGCGTTCGGCGTTCGTGTTTCATTTCGCAGACGTCGAACGCCTCTTGGGGTATAAATGTTGAGATGCGTTCACGTTGGATCAAGTTCGCACCACAGGAGACCAATTTTCTCTCAATATTTGTCAACGAATGCGATGTAACAGATTGACAATCAATTTACAGATAATGAACAATTCTAAATTGCTAACTTGTTTTCATCACTGTCATGTTCATAAATATTAATTTGATACGCTGCAATTTTGGCAAAGTGCTCTTTAAATCATTTTCAAAGGAATCAAATTTTGTATGGTCTAGAAAAAAATTAGGATACTTATTATCGATCATCTTGTAGATATAATTTTTCTCAATAACATTTTTTTGTGTGACTGATGATTTGATATCATAGTTTCTTAAACCAAAGTAATTACTCGACAGATGCTGTAGGGATGAAATTATTCTAAGTTTTCGTGTGAACCAATTGTTCCACTCATCCAACCCCAGATTGAAGATATCAAGTTCATATTCGACATTCCAACATCTTGAATTTCGATTTTGTTGATTTATAGGCCCTCTCCAAGATGGGAAAAATAGTTAAATATCACTGTTTCAACCCAAAAAGTATGTGTAGGAGTCAACTCCTAGGAAAGATGGATTTCGATACGAGTCAATGGAATGATGGTGTATTGACGAACTTCAGTCTACAGGTCACATCAGAAAGTAGCGGTGAGTAGTGATGGAATATGAATGCCAATTTACCTCATCCAAAATGTAAAAATGGCTCTTAGATAAACCATCCATACATGTTCATGAAGCTCCAATACTTTCGAATAATAAAATGAATACATACAATGAGCGTTGCTTATGTGTGCTTGACCCTTGAAAATCTACTCACGACTGCTCTGGTTTCGCCTCGAATATATATTTGTAGTGGTGGTAGGTTCAAGAGGACCTCTGAAGCGGCTGTTGGAGTGGTTTTCATTGCACCAGTGGCACTCAGGCACGCTTGCCTTTGAATAGCACTGAGCCTTCGAATCACTTCAGCCTGTTGTGTCTTTGGCGACCAAACTACGGACCCATATGCTATCATAGGCCTGATGACGCTGGCATAGAGCCATGTGGTCATTTTTGGTTGCAGTCCCTAATTTTTTCCGCACATTCGTCTGCACAGATTGAAGGCTACTGTACTTTTTTGAACAATTGTAGGTGTTGATTCCATGTTAACTCATGGTCAAAGATGACTCCTAAGTATTTTGCCTCTAGGGCGAACGGAATTTCTACCCCGTTGAGTACTGGTGACTTTAATCCTTCCAGTACTCTCTTTTTCGTGAAATTCACTATAGTGGTTTTATGAGGGTTCACGGTGAGTTCCTCCTCTTCACACCAATTGTCAATCATGTTTAGAGCGGTTTGTGTGAGCTCCGAGACCGTACTTGCGAATCTACCTCTAGCGATAACCGCCAGGTCGTCGGCATATCCTAGGCAATAATACCCTTTGGATGTTAGCCTTTTGATCAGTTCATCCATTAGAATGGTCCATAGTAGGTGCGATAATACTCCTACCTGTGGGCATCCCCTATCTGCTCTAGCTGTCAGGGTTGTCTCGCTATTGAGAGCACCTTCTATGTCTACGAATGTTGTTATAGCTATTTCTTTGTCCTCTATCGACTTTGCGAGTAGCCTGTTCAAATCATCTAGTGCTAAGTCAGTTGACTTGCCTGGCTGATACGCATATTGGCGTTCGGCGTTCTTTGTGATACCTCGTCTCTTATGTATCTATCTATCAGTCTTTCCAGCGTTTTGAGCAGGAACGACATCAAACTTATTGGGCGGTATGAGTTAGGCGTTTTGTCACCCACCTTTCCCACTTTGGGTAGGTAGGTGACTGTCACCTTCTGCCATACGATGGGTATATATCGTATTGCTATACAAGCCTTGAATATCCGATACAGATGTGGAATTAGTATTCGCTGCTCCTTTTGAAGCAGGATGGGGTATATTCCATCTACTCCAGGGGATTTATAAGGTTTAAATTCATTAATAGCCCACCTAATTCTGTTTGGCCTCGATATCTCTGTAGATAGCCTCCATTTCATGGCAGTTGGACTATTCGGCCTGCCAATGGTGCTGTCTGCTACTATTGGCTCATTTAGGATTACTGAGGCCGGAGAGTGTGCCTCAGTGAGCATCTTCAGACTCTCCTCAAAAGTTGCCGTGTAGGTATTGTCATTCTTCTTCAGAAAACCTACTTGGTTTACAGTACCTTCTTTGGCTAGCACTTTGTGGATCCTTGAACATGTGGTGGTTCCTGTGACCTCCTCACAGAACTTTTTCCACGATTGCCTTTTCGATTTCCTAATCTCTTTGTCGTACTGCGTGAGTTTAACCTTATATGTGGCCCAATTCTGGTCGAGTTTTGCTTTGTTGAATAGCCTTCGCACCTCCCCTCGTAGGGATTGTTTTATTGTTTTGTTGTCTTGTTTTTTCCGGGTAGTTACGTTCGTAGGCGGCAACTATTGCCTTCTTAACTTGGGCTACTGACCTCTCAAGACTGTGACTGTCCCTTATGTCAGCCGTGGTCCTTTGTAGAGATTCTCTGAGTGATGTTGCGTATCCCAGTTGGTCTCTCTGGGGTTTCTGTACTTTGTTAAGGTATGAGGTGGGTTCGTCTGACACATGCCAGTTGACGATATCATCACATGCCAGTGCTATGCAGGCCCTGTAGATCCTCAAAAGGAAGGTGGAGATCTTGTACATGCTGTTTCGAAGGAGAGCAGGAAAGATGCCATCTCATCCGGCCAATTCATAGGAAAGAAGAGACTCGATGGCCCGTACGACCTTCTCGTGTGTGCTCACCTCCTTGGCCCTGGCGAAACCTCTGAGTGGATTGTCTGTCTCAGCTGGAGGTATCATCTCACCAAGTACCTTCCGAGAGTCAGGAAAATGGGTAGACACTAAGTGTCTGAGCGATTCCTTCTCGTCAGCGGAAGTGCCGCCGAGAAGACGCAGCAGCCCTGAAATGACCCTGGGAGTATTTACGAGAATCTTGTGAAGCCTTGTGAAACCTGACTGCCTCAGGTTATCTAGATAGTAGCTTCTTCAGGAGTCTCGTTCGCTTTGCCTGCCACTGACAAACGATTCCATTCATTGTCAGGATCTCTGATAAAAACATTTTCAGAAGCAGTAGCATTTAGAAACAATTCATTTGATATGTCCTAATACACGTATATTGAAACAATACTTATACTCAATGTTTCTCTCCGCACAGTTAGTCCTGATTATGTTTTGGTAAAGAGAGCATCGCGCGTATGCCTTCAAAGTATACTTTAGTTATGAGCGTTTCATTATCGCTGGAACGTGCCTCTCGAGCGCGCTTCAATATTCCTCTCTGATTTGGCGCCATGCCACTTCTTCCCATGACGTTATTCGAAGTCTATCGTTCACAATCACGTATTTGGAATCCAGGGTACAATACATATAAAATCAGGTTAGAAAGAGTTCAAAACAAATTTGTGAGTTTTCTGAACTTTAAAATAAACGGAACCTATAACGTCGAGAATATATGCATTACTAGACAGTCGTTTGGCATTTTAGAATTGGAAAAGCGAAAAACAATTACTGACTACTCGTGAATTTGCTTTAATGGCACAAAAATCAGACCGAACAACTGTTTTCATTGACAAAGACGCATGGTACATTAATATGGATCTCTAACGAACCATGCCGTTGCCAAAGATATCTACATTAAAAGCGTTCCATTAATTTTGGCATCCATTGCAACAACCTGGAATTGAGTACTTAATAATCGGGTCTGATTCATGCGGTGGCCAGAACACATTTTTTTATGTTGTGCCTCTACCAGCACCTACTACTCAACAACTTTTCTGAAGTAGAAGATCATGAATTTCCCAAAGTTGGTTACAGCTAATTGGATTCCGATCGTGATTCTGAAAGGATTGAAAAAGTACTGAGAAAACATCAGACAATTTTAATTCCGAACCAGTATCGAGAAGTCATCAAATCTGCGAGTACAAAGAACAGGTCATGCTTCGATATGGAGAACTTTTTTATAATTTGAAAGAGCTTCCGGATGAACTTCGTTTGAATAAAAAATTGAACAATACTCCCAACGAGAAAGTGAATTTACGAGATGTGTCAAATGGGTCAGAGTAGACCATTTTGGTTTTATTGATACAAAGCAAACTTAGATCCCTTTACCCCATTCCTGCAAGTTAACTTGCACAGAAAAGGAACAATAGATGTCTTCTCTGATGAAATAGAGTTGGGTGAGTTGCAAAAATGCGGGGGTTAGACTATTGAAAAAATTAATAACTCAGGAGAGCAGCTGACCTTCATTGACAAAGATTATCTATGGTTTTATGAAGAAATTCTGAATGAAAATATTGAAAATCCGCAAAAGAAGAGGGAAACCATTTGGGTTTTTGTCTGACGTTATGTTTTCGATGTTCTCATCGACTAGATTCAGATATAATACGTAATTTTGTGAGTTATCACATTAAATGATATTAAGAAATCATTCAGGAGCAAAATCACTTTTTTTAATTCAGGATGAACCCTATAACATCGTTGATTGAGGGTTGGTGGATGAAGTTGTTATGTACACAAAATCTGAATCTGAAAATTCATCAAAGAAGCCAACTTATTTTCAAATGATTGATGCGATTTTACTTGATAATATCCAAAAGTAATTGAAAATGTTCTAGTTCTAAACGCGTTTCATTAAATATCTATGTAGTTTGAAGATGTGACATGACATTCTTTCCACTTATGTCTTCAAGTGTCACATTTCAAAATGAGTCAGGTGATATTCAATCTGATATTATTCCAAAACATGATCTCCCCGGTGGAAAATTGATGCCTGTAATTTTGGTACGGCACCAGACTTAACTTAGGGAGATTTACCCACGCCATGTCATGTTTATCGAAGTAGGCGAAAATCAAAGAGTTGCAAAATAGAAAAAGAATGAAGTGCGTACACCAGAGATTCACTTTATCAATGATCTGACCATAGTGTCATACTGATAACATTGTCGTAATTCAAGAATGTCAAATTTCGAAGTGACGTTGGATTTGGTAGCCGTTGCTATGGCTGATGCGAAGCTTAACTTCACGTACTGTATAGAGAACGTAAAGAACAAACTCTTTTTGCATACGATTGCACAAACTCCGATTCTTTTTCATATTAATTGAATGAATTACTACAACTAAATTCAACTGGTACTATACATTCTCCCGCAGATGATACTGTTATCTTGTGAATCAAAAAACAAAGTTATCAATGATTTCCCTATTATTGAATAATGGATTGGTCAGAATTCATCAACAATTAATCTTGAGAGAACGAAAGATACATTCATTCCTATAAAAATTCTCAACCAGATTTAGGCATATCAGGATGCATAGAGAAATTGAAATTCAGGAAACTGACTGTATTAAATACCTTGGTATGATGATGGACAATAATCTGAAATGGAATCATTATATTGATAATGTCTCTAATAAAATAAGATGCCTCAATCCTAAACTCAAACATTTGAAAAACTCATCACACCTTCGTTATTCAGAAAGGATATATTATGCTTTAATGCGATCCCAATTTGTTCATGGAATATTAGGATGAGGTGAAGTGAAGCAGATATATTCGAGGAAATTGGAAATTATACAGAAATAGATTTTGAAAAATTATTCATGGAAGAGATTATTTGTTGCCAACTGAACTTTCATATAAAGAATCTAAGAGAATGGATATAAATCAACTCCATTTATACAATTCATTGAGCCATATTCTCAAAAATAAATAGGACATCCAGTTCAAAAAACATTTCTATGACATAAGAAATAGAAATAACATAAAATTGGAATATAAAACGAATAAGTCAATTGGACGTAGAAATTATAAATTCTCAATTCCTTACCTATATAATAAAATTCCAAATGATATCATGAAAACGAAATCACTACTCACAATTCTATGGAGTGAAAATAAAGAACTGGATATTAGACTCGCCTCAAAATGATTTCATCTCTTTGATAACCATTCAATAATATAAGCGAAAACATCAAAATAATACATATTGTGAGTGAATGAGTATATATTAATATAAATAATTATGCGAATCGGATGGAATGCTCAGTTTACTATATATGAATCGAATACATGATATCCCATATATCTTAATGAGACAATAATTTTTCCTTCGTGATAATTCAATATTGTTAAATATTCATTGATCTGTACATGTACATTTGTTTCTTCATCTTTACTACAAGGTTCACTTCGTGAGGTTTTTCCCAGTTTTTTCAAAATACCTATCTGTATGTTCCAATGTATACTTTTAAACATTTTTGATTAAACTTATATCATTGTCATTATTATTATAGATATCTGGTCCTGGATAGTCTGCGACGGAGACATAGACCCCGACTGGGTGGAGTCCCTCAACTCTGTCCTGGATGACAACCGTCTCCTGTCTCTGCCCTCTGGTTGGCGCATCCGATTCGGCCCCAACGTCAACTTCGTGTTCGAGAGCGACGGCCTGGGCAACGCCTCGCCGGCCACCGTTTCCAGGATGGGAATCGTGTTCTTGAGCGAGGAGGATCTCAAATTGGATGATTATGTGACTGGTTACGTCAGAGGTTTGACGAAGGAAGATTCAGTGGTGGAGACGCTGGTCACCGATTATTTTGTTAAAGGTAAGATATTGCATTTTGGAAAACATTATCAGAAATATATAACTCTCAAGAATATTACAAAGAAAGATATTAGTGCAGAGGAATACATACACATATTGTTGATATGATACGACTTCGATAGGTATGGAACAAAATTGATGCAGAAATTACAGCAGAGAAGGAAAAAAGTGTCAAAGTCAGAAAATTAAATCAAAATTTTATGTTCGTCAAATTTAACATCAGATAAAGGAAATCTTCCATTGAAACATCCCGTTTATTATGGATTCAAAGATTACAGAAAACATTTCAGGGTTTCTACTCAAGTTACCAAGGATACAGAAAAATCGATTGATTATAATGGAAATCGAAGAAAACATTGAGCCAGAATGAGGAACAACATGAAAATACCGAAAACTGTGGGTTATGCCTGCAATCCTTCAATTGAAAATCATATTCAGTTGGGAGTACGTTATGTGAAACTTGTTTATGTTCAAATTGTTTCAAATTAACAAAAAAACGAATAAATTACATTAAGAAACTGAAAACTAAATTGAAATGCAGCAGTTGCAATATTGAATTCGCAGAGACTATAACGAATGGTAATTCCAAAGAAGAAAACATTTACCTACGCAAAAGGATTGAACAAATTGAAAATTATATGATCGAAAAATAATCTCTGATGAAGAAATTGAATTAAATTGATGAAGAATTGAGCAGATAGTGATAGTGAATCAATTCTCACACAAGATTTCAACCTCAACAAAACCTACTCCAATATCGTTGAAATGAATTGTGGGAAGTGGAAACGTTGTAACAAATCAGTAAAAAGCGTCCGGCGATCATTACAAAAACTGCCTAGGTTGCGGTATTACGATTTATCATAGCACCAAGATTAATGAACTGGTTTTTGCGCGAGAATTCAGCCTGCGAAATTTTGACATCATGCAAGTTGATGTCCTCGTCTCGCTCGTTGGTTCTTGAGAGATAGAATCAGTTCAGGGACGTTTTAACGAAAGATTGAAATGATGAATGTTGGCAGATTTGTTAGTACATAGGAATTTGGATTCGAAGAGGATTTGTGGTGATTATGTACGTTGCGGAATCTTGATAAGTGCAGCTGCATTCCAGTGGAACATACCTAGAAGAATTCTGTCAGGGAAAGTTGAGTTGACTTTGATAATTCGACAGGTTGAACGAAGACATTTTGTCAATAAGTGACCTTATCCTTCTACAATTTTTGCTTATACTAAGGAACGTGTTCGTGTAGTATAATCTCCGAATATTTAATTGATATTTTCAAACGTAGTTAGTTTTGTCGTGGGCATTTTTTGTTAACGTTTTGCAGATAACTACCGGTCTACGAGAGGAAGATCAATAATTGTGAATACAACGCATTGAAGGGCCAGCTTCCACGAACAATTAGTTGAAATATTATAAGAAGCTAACATAACATAGCATAACCTAACCTCTCAAACCTCACAACTCTCAACTGAGGAGGCCCTAATCTGGTACAAGATCTTACTCATAGTTTATAAAGCCCGGCTAAACAATTGGGGTTTAGCGGGAATTATTGAAGAGATAATATAGGGTGTTCAAAATCGAGATTTTCTCAATTAGAGGATTGTTTTGTTTCGAAACTATTCATTATCGGCCACAACCGCTTTGATTGGAACAAATACAGGTTGGTTGAAGAATCAGAATTCTGATTTTCAGGGAATCATTTGCAAATTTCTTATGGACAACAATATTCTGGAGTACTTAGTATTTTCTTTATTGGAATTTATTCAGATCAGATGTGTGTCACGATGGCTCGTCGAATGGGAGGTGATGGGTTATACGAGTTGCGGATACATGCCATTGCAATTTGTACAGTTTATGAGATGCGTCAAAGTCTAGCACTGGCCATTCAATTGGAGAAAATATGAGATAGTTTCAAATATCCTGCTCATCCTTTCACGGTAGAGGAAGCTCTGTTGGAAATTGAACAAAAACTAGTTTTGTTGATATCGGGCATAAGTCAATTTGATCTAGTAGTGCATTTCAGGAGTACTGATCTCCAATATGGAGGATTTCCAACTCTTCTAGAGATGCCATCAACTTCGTTTTATCGAATAAAACATCCTGTGTATTTTCACATATTCAAGTACGATAGGTCAAAACAAGTACAATTATTATGTCAAATGTCATTTTCTTCCACATGCGCATACAAATTTGGCTTTGGTGGGAAGCCTTGGTGTTGAATATTGGATTTGAACGTTGAATGATCTGTGTGCTATATGGGAACGAAAATAAAAATAATAATTTTGCCGGTTATAGCAATAAATGGGACCAATTTCCACATATGTTCTTCTTCTCTAGGAATGACTGCCGGTCACCTGTCTCAGGACTCATACTGACAACACCTCAGGGAAGGATGGAAGATTTGGATTCGCCAAATCAACGCGCTAGAGCCATCTCCGATATGTATCATTTTTTTAATACCAATAGTGAGGCCGTCTGATAACAACGCTCACCCATAGCGTCTTCACCTCCTCCACCGTAGTTCGGTCATGGTTTTGTGAACATCTGCTCCCTGGTGTCCACCCCAATTGGTGAGGCATCAGCGCGCATATGCACCCTGATTCTCATCCAGTTCAATGAATTCCCGGTCGAGGACATTCACAAGTTCCTATACCTCGTTAACAGAAATGGACCCTGCTTTGCCTCCAATGACTGGCGAATCGCTTTGGGCTACCCACTTCTTGCCGAACTAAAGCAACAGGAACGCCAAAGTTTTAGTTCTCGCAGAGCAAGCCCAGCTACTCATGTTGACTGAAATTCTCCAGTCTGGTTTGATGGGTAACCCTTCGCATCCTTTCCCACGTACCGCTTCCATGATAAGAGTGGAGATCCCAGGCATTCAACCAGGTATCTGGAGTCACTAGAGGCTTCCTCAACCCGACGCCGTGTGTACATGATAAGCCCACGGCTATATTTATGGGGACAGTGCAAGAGACTGAGAGATGAAGAAAGAGTGAAAATGGCAAAGTGGCGCAAAGTGGTGTGGAACAAAGTTCCAAGCGGCTGCACGCACGCACATTCAATTGATAATTTCTGCTACTTGGGCTTGTGCGAATCAGCAGATCATGTTATTTCCGTGATCCGTGAATAATATACTTCAAAATGAAAAAAATAATAGCAAAAATATCCAGATGACGTTTTTTCGTGCAAATGTGTGGCTCTCCACTATCATTAGGTAAGGCTCAAATCATCACATTATTGATTTGCACACTTTTCTGCATGTGATCAACTCACCTTGCATCAATCTGACGCGCTCGAGTTTTTCCTACGATCGATTTTTTTTACTAGTATGATCAGCTGCCCAAGTCGTTTGAGACCATATAAGAGTTAATTCCAAAGTCCCTGCTTAGGCTTCCCTACTATTATATGAAGCCTATAAATCAACAAGTTTGCCACTCATTGCCTCAACACAATTGAGCATATTCCATTTTTGAAATGTTCCATCTGAAATGATTCCCCACCCTATTTCTGTTGGATGCTCTGAAACTATTGTCTCGAGTGTATCCCACAATACTTCCGTGGTTTTCCAAATGTTCATACTTATTTTAGTCAATCCCAAGAAGTGACAACATTTTTTATTTGCTTTGAACCTCCTGATAGAAATAACTGGGATGAAATTCGATTCATCTTTATATTGATACTTGTTCAATTCGTTTATACTCACTGTGAAGTGGTATTGAGCCAGTGGTATGATGGGATGGATCTTCACTCAATTTGTGCTTAATCAATGTCAACAATTGAAGAAATAATTTTGGCGTCATTCGCCAATATTTGGATAATACAGAATATGCTCATTTATTTTGTCTCTCAGTTGTTGTTTGTATGTTCAGGTCATATCGAATCATATATTGAATATTCCATTATCCTCTATTCTTTTGTGAACCTTGTACTATCTAGCATCAAGCACTCAAGTATAGTTAGCTCAGAGCCCCACAAACAGTTCGACCATGTTATCAACCTTTTCAAAGAATAGCTGAGTGTTGGAAGTGCCGAGCAAGTATTTCTTGCATTCAAGATCATTTTATTTCTAATTTGATTAGTTCGGTCTCTACTCTTTGGATATTTCTTCTTTTTCTAGAAGGTATATTGTAAAATCATCGTTTTTTTCTCTACCAGCCACTACCTTCAATGGATCTAGCACCCTGATTATCTAACTCCCCACCTATACGTGATCTATCAATCAATATTATCAAGATTCATATAAACATAATGATATTCTCATTTATATTATCCCCTATGAGTATACTGCTATACTTCATATTTCATTCCAGCTGTTTATTGGTTGATGAATGATGGAGAGGTGACAGTTCCAAGTTCACAAATAGCCATCGCCAAAACTGGAATCACGCAACTTATCGATGTCAAGAGTCGATCACATTTCTGCATTGCTCTGATAAATGGACTTGGACAGCAGGTACAAGATGACTTTAGAGAAATTTTCGCCCAACAGGTAAATTCATTCAATAGCAAGGTAAGCGAATTTGCAGGAAATGTTTGGAAACAATTGAAAAACGAATTACAAATGAAAAGGAAAGTTCAGTTGGTTCAGCAAACATCACAATCTTGATTGGCAGTACAATGAAGAATTGTTTCCAACTGTATTGTCATATTCAACTTCAGGATTTGAGCATTCAGATATAATAGTTGCTCGCTCATCATCACATTTAACTTCCTACAGTAATGATTTCATGTGTATAAAAACCCTTCCACAGCCTTCTATCCTTCAATGGCTAGATATCAGGTCAGTGGTTCATTATTATGGTCGAAATTATTCTACTGAAATGATGGTAAGCTTCAAAGACATTATCACGAACTGATAATTCAAATCATGCATCGACGCGGTGTTTCCAAACGGTCACCCATCCAAGTACTAACCGCGTCCGACGTTGTTTGACTTCTCGGGTAGATTCAACGTAGTATGGTCGTTTCCAGGAAATGAATTGAGTTAGTCAATTTTTCCAGATCCATTGGGGACATTTATTTGATGAATACACTCCCGCGGCCGTGAGTTCTATCTCCTGTTGGTGTACCTCTACGTACGTTCGAGATGATTCCATTCCATCACTTTCAACCTTTTCAATGTTTCGATCATTTATTCTTGACCCCAGATCTATTCAAAGTCTTTTTGAGCTGCAGCATGAGACCACAAAAAAACAAAGGGATCCCAACCTCGAACAAATGAACAAAAATGTGAATCGAAATATCTGAAACTTGAAACCCCATCATGATTGTGAGTGCAATGCCGAATTGTAGCTAATTGTATTGTCCTATTCAACTCTTGGCCATGAGCTGTCAGAGATGATGATTGCTCGCTCATTTCGCAGTCCTTCGAACTTGAATGCGACTCCTGTAGATACCTGGTGTTCTTGTTTAGTTTCCTTAGTGATGATTTCAGTATAGGAGCCATTTTATAGCCTTATATCCTCTTATGAAACGGCACCCAAAAAACTATCACCTAATTGGCCAGGTAGCCGTGCGGACAGAGTGTCTATATTCTAATTCGCATTCGCTTGCCGGTCGTGGGTTCGATCCCCGTCGACTGCAGAAATTTTTGTGATGGCCCAAGAAAGTGTTTGGGATCACACGTTGAAAGGTAAGGCCCCCGTCATTCCTTGCTCGCACAAGACTTTCGAAGACTTTTGAGGGTTGCTCGTAAGGGGGCAACCGAATGACGGATAGAACAAATTTTAGAACAAATTGTATCAAGTAATTCCATGACGACATAATTAGATATAAGATCATGGTGTACCCTGAGTATTAGCATTAATATCGTTGTGAATAAAAGCTCCTCTCCAAAAGTCACCAACTGTCATTACTTGTGAACAATGTTGAGGTTCAGAATTTGATCTTCCATAACCTGGTGTTGAGTTGATTCTGACAATACCTGCTTGTATCAATATGCCAAATTATAAATGATCCATTTCAACTTCCTCCGAAGTTATTGTGAATACTGTAGGAGAATGAAATTGCCATTAAGTACATATCGCACTTATTTTTGTCATTTTTCTCATATCAAATCCATAGTGAGGCTCAACCAATTAGTGTTTCCATCAGAGCTAGATGTTTCATCGATGCTGAGCGTACATTATGTTTTCAAGAACTCAGGAGATTTTTGGGTTCTTTGTGCTTCTTCAATTTTGAATTAATCAGATCTGAGATAACCAAGGTCTTATACTCTGCTACGTCTGGTAGATACTTCATGATCCTATGCTTGCATGACAACAATAATGATCGTTTCTCTAGGTGATATTCTCTTCCCATCTGAAGTGATCAACAAAACAAACGTCGTGGTTCATATTATGGTCTAATTCCGAAATCAAATCACTCATGGATCTGATAACTAATGTGAAAACTTCACAAACGATGGAATTTCCACACAATTCTTAGTCACACGACATGTTTCTTTGTCAGGTGAAATACTGGTACAATTAGAACTTGATTTTTCATTATAACAGTATTTCACCTGATGAAGCTACTGTGTTAAAGGAACATGTCGTGTGACTAAGCATTTTGTGGACATCTCATCGTATGTGAATTTTCACATTTGCTATGGATTTCCATCAAGTAACAGCCGAGTCAATTCAAAACCCATAACTTATTCTCATTCGATTTGCACAGTTGGCTAGCTCAATCTTTTAGTAACGTTGGAGCAATATGCGACTACAACAATTATTTCGATAGTTTGAAATTGCAGCGGTGGTTTTTTTCTCCATCGAATCTCACAATAGCTTTTTATCATCATGTTTGCATTTCAGTTCGGGTTCTTGTATCCGGGCACCCCCACATTTTTGAGAACTATCCACACAATGTGAACTTTTCGAAGAATATCACGACCATTCAATGTTATTCAATGTTCCGTTGATAAACATCAAAATTTTTTAAAAAGATGTATCTCAGACATGATGGGTCTGATTGAAGAAATGTCGAAATCGTTCCGGGAGAAGACATCAAGCTCCATGATTGTGGTAGAAATAAGCAATATATACAGGGTGTTGAAAAACTATTGGATCAAACTTCTAGGGGTTATTCAGTGCAACAGTAGAAACATTTGAGTAGTGGGTCCCATGTCCGGAAGAGGGTCAATACGGCACTACGGCCCTAAGACGCGTTAAAATTCAGAAAGATGATGGATTGCCTAGATATGATTCAATGCATTCAGGCAATTTATCGTCTCTCTAAATGTCAACAAGTCTTAGGGAAGTAGTGACGTAGTAACAATTTTCCAGACATGGGGCCCACTAGTCAAATGTTTTCTACTGTTGCACTGAATAACACCTAGAAGTTTGATCCCATATTTCTGAAACACCCTTTGAAGAATATTTGCTCAAACGAAAACGTAACGACACTGTTTGCAATTCTACACTACTTCAATTATGTATATATGATAATATAATATATACTCATATTGCTCTGACGAGTAACTGAAAGATAGGTTTCACCAACTGTGAAAACCGAATAGAAATCAGTTATGGGATCCATGAGTAATTCGATTTCGAAATCGTTTCGTACATTGAGCCACGACGTTCCTTTTATCGATCAGATAAACAAGAGTTTTTCGACTGTATTAGCAGAACCAATTCGAGGTTTGAGTGTGTGCAAACTATGAATCTGATGATCCCACTGTCGCTGTACTCGTTCTAATTTTTTCAGGTGTTCGAATGGACAGGGGAACTACCTCCACCGCTGATTCTGAGAAGTCGTTACAACAAAGACAGAGATACTATTGATCCTTATTACACGAATCCTAATATCGTTATTGAGAACGTTGCTTTCGGGGTACCATTGATAGAAACCGGACAAGTTTCCCAATACCTAGATATTCTGAGAGTGTGGTTCAGAGAAGGGAATGAACAACATTTCCTGATAGTTGGTCCTCATGGTTGTGCTAAATCGTAAGTTGACTGTGCTGTTAGCCAGAATGTGATATGAAGGCTAACATCATCAGTCCCACCAATCGATGCTTTTGGAACTCGAGGTCAATTTCAATGTGAAAATTCCCCAACATCTGACCATTCTAGAATACGTGATTTTGACATGGTTTCTTGAGGGACACACAAGCTATCTGTTGAGTTACCTTTGATGAGCATAACCCTGGCCATCCCTGTCACATCCACAATATAATAACAGTTTCACCGAACAAAATTATAGAGTTTTTTCGGGTTCCAACTAATACAATGTTTGCCCCTCAGCAAGCTGTCAATTGACGTGATTCTGGAATGATCATCTGCTGAATAGCCCGAAAGGCTGATAGCAGTTTTTCCTGGCCATATGTCTGGAAAGTATTCGTTTTCTGTTCGATATACCGAAAACGAATTTTCAATGTATCTTCCTCTGTTCAAAATGTTCATAATATATCTACAATATTCACTTTTGATAGGTGTCAGTCATTCATTTTCATTTTCAGAAATATTTTTGATTATTAGATCTCGATAGGTATGATATCATTGCATCTCATGTATAATTCATTTCTTTAAGGTTGATTTTGAGGAGCTTGGTGAATGAAAGAAGTGATTTGGATATGGTAACAATCCACTGCAGTGGTAATCTACTACCATCTTTCGTGATTAACAAACTGTTAGAGGTTAGTCACTATTCACTCCGATATTTCCTCATCGAATTCATATCTATTTCGTATTTTTCAGTACTGTATCTCTGTGAATACGCATAGAGGAAAAATTTTGAAACCAAGGAAGGGATACTTGGTACTCTATTTGAGAAATATTCATTTGCTAAAACGAGACAAATGGGGTACAAATATGCTCATCGAATTTGTAGATCAGGTAAGGTTCAGTTTTCATTACATTTTGATTGGTCGATGTCACCAATGGACTCTTTTCTGTGAAGAATTCATTCCAATATCATCATTTTGAAGAAAAAAGTGGAGTGAAGTAAAAAGGCGAAGTTGATCGTGACGATATACACCGCGTATAATTGTGCCTTGTCGATCTGAATGAAAAAGCTAGTTAGTAGGCGAGAGGTATAATATTGTATGTTTATTGACTCAATATTTGTCTACCTGTCAATGGCACTACTGTATCGGACTGTCGATAGCTCATTTCTTCAATGTCAGTGGCACTATTTCAAGTTGAATTTGTGTTCCTCAATTTTTTTTTTCGAAACCGTAAACTACAGATACTGATGAAATGGAAGGATATTTCTAACGATTGGTACCTGACAGTTCTGACGTGTGGTGATTGAGAGTTTTTGAATTATCTCTCTCAATCTCAAATCACAAGCATAATCCACTATTCTACTATAGAAAGAAGCTGATATATTCGCCAACATACTCATAACTTATATACTTACTCGATCAACAATACCTTCCAAGCAAAAAGATCGAACAATCAACAGTCCACATATTGCGATAGCGGTAGCAGGAGTGATTAGAGCAATGCCAGGAGTAGGTACAGTTTTTCAACAGTGGAAATGTGAACATTGAAAACCATCTCTGAACAATATGTTAACCTAGGTGGGGCATGAATTTTTTGTGCTAGAAATTATAGCCATCAAAATTAGGTGCATTTGATCCATACAATCAAAACCAGCATTTGGAAATATCAGTTTCATTGAAAGAAGCTCTTCTGTAAACCAAGAAATTATTCATCTCCCAAAACCACCCTGCATGCTTAAGTATCAATCACTACTTCATATGTGGTGTTCCACTGCTATAACAGCAAGTTGTCATTATCCTATGTGTGTGAATCGTATCTATATCACAGTTTTTATAATGTGAATATACCTGATATACTCATAGTTGAAGTAGGCGGTATTGTACCTGAAAGGCCTGTACAAAATCTCCAAACACAGTCCTGAGGTCAAAATAAGCCGATTTGAAGAAACTCACTTTTGTCCGAGATTGCTCCGTTTCCGAGATACTGGATAATGCTTTTGAATGATGAAAATCAACAAGTATAATACAATGAAGAAGTATTTTGAAAAATCCATTATTGCACTACCCATTCACTGACCAAATAACATTCGCAAAGATAACAGCAAACATAATTCTTTTTATGAAATAGTTTCAATATTTTGGTGCAGCATGAAACCCCTGAAACCAGAATATCTCGAAATCGGCTTACTTCAGCGAAATATTCACGAAATTCACTCAACAACGAGAAACATATGGAGAAGTACATTGAAAAAAGAGTTATGGCCCATCTGAACCATAAGAAGTGCATTAAGAAGCGCATTCTAATGACCACAGTGAAAATGTGTCCGAATTAGGGTCTCGCATTCCAAAGATCCCCCGGCCACCATTTTTGAAACTGATAAGTTCAAAAATGTTCATGGATTGAAAAAAAAAATCGATTTCTATTCTTTGAATTATTCACCACTTTGTATTTTCAAAATCCAGAGTTTCAGACTGAACTAAAATGCTTCAAATCGGCTTATATAGACCTCAGGAATTTATGCTGTCATCTTAAAGACACCTCTTAGGGACACGCTTTACTTACAAGAACATGAATGTGAGTCATTCCGGTCCTGATACGAAAGTAATCTTCAGTTTCTTCAGGCTTAGGAGATAATTCATGTAATATTTCTTTTTTTTATCGCTTGGAGCGCACGAAAGAAAATCCCTATGATGTTCATAGAACATCGTGCGTTCCTAGGGAGGATAGGGACAGTAGGTCGGTTTCAGTTTTATTTTTACCTTCTGGAGATTATATGTTGTTGGGAATACTTCATCAGGCAATGAATTCCAGAGCCTAGCCGTTCTATGGATGAATGAGTTTTGATCAAGTGCTGTTCGACATCTTCCGAGGTTAACAACGAAAGGATGTGCTGACTGGGCTTGTCTAGTTCGTCTAACTGATATTACTAGTGAAGGGATGATGAAGAACATTTCCCGTGGATGTATCGATAGAAAAGTGGAAGGTCGCCGACCTTTCTACGGTGTTCCAATGATGTCAGAGAGTGATTGAGTGTGACGTCACCAACCAGGCGAATGGCTCCTCTGGATGGAATCTAAGAGCATCAGCGTATGTTCTGGTGCTGAACCCCATATGTGGGAACAGTATTCTAGAACAGGCCGTATATGCGCTTTGTAGATCATGAGAAGCTGTTGTGGTGTGAAGTAGCTTTTCGCACGGAACAAGGATCCGAGTTTTTGTGGAGCAGCTTTCGCGATGGATCTGACATGATTATTCCATAAAAGAGTATTGCTGATGGAAATACCGACCATAGATATGGTGAGCTTGGTGAGGATAGAGGTGCCAGACATCACAATGTCGGGCATACTGTGTTCCACCTTTCTAAAAAAAATACAGGCTTGACTTTTGGTGGCGTTGAATTCAACTAGGTTGTTGGTTCCCCAGGCTGTGATTCCAGCAAGGTCTCCATTGACAGCATCGACCTGCCTGCGCCGTGAGTTCTTAGTATCCTGGGAAGAAATGGAAATTCTGGAAGAGAACGCAGTATGGAGGGTACTATCATCTGCAAAGCTGTGGATGGGGCAAGTTGTTACTCCCAACAGATCATTGGTATGAAAAAGGAATAATATTGGTACCGAAATTGATCCTTGTGGAACGCCGGAATTGATGCCAATGGTATCAGACGATACACCGTCCACCACCACGTGAAGCGATCTTCCTGAAAGAAAACCCGATAAGAGATGGCATAGCTGAGGTGGTAAGCCGTATGATGGTAGTTTGTGGAGGAGTCCTTCGTGCCAAACACGGTAGAATGCTTTCGATATGTCCAACGCGACAGATAGAGATTCCCTGTGATTTTTCAATGAAGCTCGCCATAAATGGGTGACGTAGGCAAGTAGATCTCCAGTAGATCTTCGGTGGCGAAAGTCGTATTGTCTATCATTGATGATTCCTGAGCTCTCCATATATTTGATGAGCTCAATATTGATGGCTTTCTATTTCACTTTGGAGATAACTGATGATAGGACAATGGGCCTGTAGTTGTTGGGCAGGCTCTCGTGTCCTTTTTTGGGGATTGGTTGGACTCTAGCTATCTTTCAGCATGATGGAAAAATACCCGACCTGTAGGAGGAGGTGAACAACTTGCAGAGAATCAGTGTTAATTCTGGTGCACATTTTTTGAGGATAATGGGTGGAATTCCCTCAGGACCGTTAGCCTTTTTCTTTTTGAGACAAAGCAGAGTTTATCTGATAGTGTGTTGACAAAAGACGATTTCAAACGTTCGACTCTCAACGGGTGGAATGTCTGGCGGCACTTTTCTTGGAGAATCTGAAGTAGAGTTCGCAGAGAACATCTCTGCAAAAATATTTGCTTCCTCCTGCGATGTTGTTGCTAATGTGCCGTCGGATTTAGACAGTGATGGAGATGAACTATTAGTGAAATTTCTTTCGATCGCTTTAGCAAGGATCCAAAACGAACGGGGGCCATTGGGACAATCTATGGGTAGAGATCTTTTCTTGGCATTGTATGTTTTTTTCGAAGCATTTATTGATAGGCTGCAGGTATTCCTGGCATCAACGTATTCTGCTCTAGTCGCGAGGTTAGAGTTTTTGCGCCAGCGATGGTAGGCTGTTTGTTTCAAGGCAACAGTTCTAGAACAGTTTTTGTTGAACCAGGGTTTCGATGGTGATGATCTTTTCGAAGAATGAAGTATCTACGTGTCCATTGCGAGCATGATATCTCGGATATTTCCACACTGTGAAGGGTCCTCAGAGTCGAAGCATACTCTATGTCAAGAAAACTCTGGGAAAAACATGCGGAGACCGTTCCAATCTCCTGAATTGTAATGTCATATAAGACGTGGAGGTGCCGGAGCAGTTGATGGAATGAGAAATGGGCAGGTTGTGGAGATGGGTGTGTGGTCAGAATTGTCAAGTGGAGCTCGTACATCTATGGTGTACGGTGCAGAATTGTTAGTGAGGAATATGTTAGCTGAATGGTTATTGGCATCAGGAATTCGTGTGGGTTCTTTGATAAGCTGCTCTAAGCCGTGAGTGATGGCGAAAGCTTCGGCTTGTCGCCCAGCTTCATCTTTTTTGTTAGAGTGTACGAGCCAAGCAGTGTTGTGTACATTGAAATCGCCCATAATGATGATTTCTGCTGCTGTATGGTTCTGTTGAATTCGGTCAAGCTCCAGAGACAATAATTCGAAGAGCGCTCTTCATAGGATGAATCATTAGGTGATAAGTAGAGACAATAAAGTTATATGGTCTGTTTCTGGCTATCGAGTTCGAACCACATGACATCAAACTTATTTGTTCCCAAAGTTTTTTCTCTTTGACATGAGAGATTTGTTTTAGAGTAGAGGCAGTGACCTCTTTTGAATCTGGAACGTGTGTGGAGTTCGTACCCAGGACAGAGCTGATAGGTCGAATTGGTGGATGAATTGACCTGTGTCTCAGTAAGAACCAATATGTCTGGCTTTTCAATTCGAAGGTGTCGAAGGTCATTGTTGATGTTCTTACTCAGACCTCGGATGTTACATAGGTCTATCTTGAGGACTTCTTCATCTGAAGGTGAACCCCCTCTAGCACCTCTTTCCCGAAAGTCCGAATGGGGAGGTATTTTACTTCCGGATAATTTCACTTGAGGAGAACTCATCATTGCTTATTCTGTATAGAGAAGGAAGGTTGGCGTGGAAGGAAAACAAAATTGGGTTGGGTTGGGTTGGCCGGAACATCAACCAGCTAATGAAACACGGGTAAGTATACCCATTTCACAGTGCCTATGGTTGATGTGGTGGTATCGCACCGGGCGATAGCGTTAACTATCTTTCACCTATTGACGTCCTTTTAGTCGCCTTCTACGACAGGCAGGACTAACCGTGGGGTTATTCTAATCCGACCAC